TCTAATATGTATTTATTATATTAAAGGTTGTTATAAGTCCTACAGTTAAAAGAAACTTGTTTGTATTTATTTAATTCAGTATATCCCAAGTGTGATATTTATTCTAATAGATGATGCATGAAATTATTTTAGAAAGTGCATAAGTGTAAACTTTTAATTGTAATAGTTACACACACAGCATATAAATAAGTGTGAATAGAATAAAATAATATAGATATCACATCAAACCTGTGACCACGTAACATATTTCAGGATTCATTCATTCATTTATTCATTCTGTAAGTGTTTACTGAGGACCTATGATAAGCCAAGCAGTATTCTAGATGCTAGGGAGATATTGCAGTAAATAAAGTTCCTGCTGTCACAAATTTGTATTTTAGTGGAAAGGGGGACAGAAACTCATAAATAATATGGGATATGTTCAACAGTGAAGGGTAGAATAAAGAAAAACAGAGTTGAGCAGGGAGATGGAATGGATATGGACAGGATGCATGGACACCAGTACAGATGGCCTGGTCAGAGATGATCTCCCAGATAAAGTGACATTTAAGCTGAGGCCTAAATGAAATGAGCATCTTTTCAGGAAGAACATATAGTACAGAGAGAACACCATGTGCCAAGTCCCCAAAGTGGGAACATGCTTGGTACCCAGTGAGACTGGTCAAAGTCCCAGCTGCAGATAAGCCCCGAAGGATGGTATTTTCTTTTTCCTTTTTCAAAATATTTTTTTAGTTGTTGATGGATGCTTCATTAATTAGTTATATGTGGTGCTGAGGATCGAACTCAGTGCCTCACACAGGATAAGCAAGAGCTCTACCACTGAGCCCCAGCCCCAGCCCAAGATGGTGCTTTCTTAATGGAGATATTCATGCAYCACACTCTTCACCCCCCTTAAAGTGTATAGTTTGGTAATTTTTTAGTATGTTCACAAAGTTGTTTTTGTTTGTTTGGTACTAGGAATTAAATACCACGGATGTTTTACTCCTGAGCTACATCCCCAGATCTTTTTACTTTCTTTTTTTAAAAAAAAAAAAAATGTTTATTTTTTTCATTTTTTAGTTGTGGATGGATAATGCCTTTATATATTTATCTTTATGTGGTGCTGARGCTCAAACCTGGTGCCTCACACATGCTAAGCAAGTGCTCTACCGCTGAGCCACAACCCCAGCCCCTCTTTTTACTTTCTTAATTTTTATTTTGAGGCAGGGTCTCCCTAAGTTGCTAAGGCTGGCCTCAAACTTGTGTTCCTCCTGTCTCAGCCTCCTGAGTCACTGGAATTATAGGTATATGTCATGACACGTAGTTTTGTTTTGTTTAAATAATGATTTGGTTCTGCTTCTGGCCGAGATGAAGCAACAGGGACCAGATTTACCTTCTCACCCCAAACAACCAAAAAAACAGGCAAAATATATGAAACAATGGTTGTCAAGATACCAAACATCAGGCAATGAAGGAGAATGTTCCCTGAGAGATGGACATAAAATCAGTGACAGCATCTATGACTCCCTAACTTATGGCCTTCTCAATTTCCAGGCTATAGTATAGGGATGGAAAATGCAGCAACCATGAAAGTCATTTTATAATAATTGAAGAGCCCATTTTTTCAAGAGGATATATCAATCCTAAACATTTATGTATTTACTAACAGAGCATTACCATTCATCGAACTGAAAAGAAAAAAATAGGTAAATTTACAATTATGCACAGAAATTCAATACCCCTCTTCTTAATAATTGATAGAAAAAGTATCCAGAAAAATCAATAAAGACGTAGAAGACTTAGACAACATTTTCAGCCAGTTTGATCTAATTGGCATTCATAGACACTCCACCCAATGACAGAACACAAGTTCTTTCCACACGCACATGAAACATTTACCAAGACAGACCGTATTCCAGGTGATAAGAAATGTCTCAATAAGTTCAAATAACACACCGCACATTCTCTGATACAATGGAATTAAAGATCAAGAACAGAGAGATCTCTGAAAAATTCCAAAATGCTTGAAAACTAAACAATATACTTCTAAATAATTTATGGGTCAAAGAAAAAATCCAAAGATAAATTAGAAAGAATTTGGACTGAATGAAAATGAAAATAAAACCCATTAAAATTGATGGGACACAGCTAAAGGACTAGGAGAAATTTAAAGCACCAGATGAATAGCTTAGAAAAGAAGAAATATCTCAAAGACATCAGTTTGCACTTTAAGAAATTAGAAAAAAAAATTACATCCAAAATAAGCAGGCAAGAGGAAAGGAGTGAAAAATCAGTGGACCCAAATAAGAAAATCAATGAATGCAAACGCTAATTCTTTGAGAAAAATCAATAAGATTCATAAATCTCTAGCCAGCAGGATTAGAGAAAAAAATAGAAGTCACAAGTTACCAATATTAGGAATAAGTGACATCACTATAGATGCTACAGATATTATAAAGATAATAAGAGAATACTATAAACAACTTTATGCCAACAGACTTGATAACTTTGATGACTTTAATAAATTTTGGGTGTTGGGGATGTAGCTCAGTGGTACAGCAGTAGCATKTGTGAGGCCCCAAGTTCAATCCCCAGCACCTCCAACAAACAAAATTTCAAAGTCACATCACAAACTACCAAAGTTCATTGAATARAGAGATAGTTTGAATAGGCTTGTATCTATTAAAGAAATTTAATTTGTAGTTAAAAACATTCGACGAAGATAACTCCAGTTCCAGTTGGCCTTGTTGGCAAATTCTACTAAGTGTATAAAGAAGAAATAATACCAATGTGGCTCAAACTCTTCTAGAAAATTGAAGAAAAGGGGATAATCCCCAACTCATTATAGAAGTCCAGCATGACTCTGGTACCAAAATCAGACAGACATACAAGAAAAATACAGACTAATATCCCTCAAAAACATAGATATAAAAATTCTCAATAAAATTTTAGCAAATCAAAGTCCACAGTATATTAAAAGATAACATATCATAACCAAAGGTATTTGTCCCAGGAATGCAAGGTTGGTTTAATAGTAGGAAAAAAAACCCATTATTTACCAAATTAACAAATGAAAAAGGAAAAACCCTATGATTATCTTGGTAACCACAGGAAAGGCATTTGATAAAATCCAGCATCTGTTTGCCTTTGGCAAACTAGGAATATAAAGAGGCTTCCCTGATGTAACAAAAGCCATCTGTAACAGATCTCCAGCTAACGCTTAATTAATCTGTACTTAACACTGAAGGACTGGAAGCTCCCCCTTCGGATCTAGAGTAAGACAAGCACTTCTCTTTTTCCTGCTTCTGTTCAACAGTGCACTGGAGGCTTTCGTCAATGAAATGAGGCAAGAAAAAGGAAATAAAAGCTATCCATATTGGAAACGAAGAATTAAAACTGCCTTTATCACTGATGTGACAATGCAGAGAAATTCAGTGGAATCTACAAAAAAAGCCATTAGAGGTAATAAATCAGTTTCTCAACCTGCCAGCTATCAGATTAACATAATAATCAATTGTACTTACATATAATAGCAACAAACAATTGAAAAACTGAAATTTAAAATTCATTTACAATAGCACCAATACAAATGTAGGTAAAAATCTGACAAAATATGTAAAATGTTTTTCTACTCAAAACTTCAAAAAAAATTGATGAAATTAAAGAAAACCTAAATAAAAGAAGAGTAATGATGATGTGTTCATGGGTTAGATGGCTCAATTTTGTTAAGATCTCAGTACTCCTCAAATTACTATACATAATCCTAAATTCCAGAATTTTGAYGGATTCTAAAATACCTATGGAAATACTCAAGACCTAGACTAGCCAAAACAATGTTGAAAAAGGACAAAGCTGGAGATTTAACGATTTAACATTATCTGACCTCAAGCCTTATTATAAAGCTACAGTTATCAAGACAGTGTGTTACTGGTGTTAAGAAAGACAAACAGATCAAAGAAATAGATTATACGGACAAGGGATTTTCACCAGCATACAAAGGCATTTTGTGGGGGGAAAAGACAATCTTTCCAATAAAAAGTGCTGGAATGACCGCATAACYATTTATAGAAAAATGAACTTTCTTCTATCCTCATGTCTTATGTAAAAATCAACTCATTATTATAAACCTCAATGTAAAATCTAAAACCATTACATTTTTCTAGGGAAAAAAAAAACACAGGAAAAACTGTTGTGACCCTGGGTTAGGCAAAGATTTCTTAGACACAATACCGAAAGCACAATACATAAAAGAACAAGCAGATAAACTGGACTTCATCAAAATTAAACACTCTGGTCTTTGAAAGAAACTTGTAAAGGAATAAAAACAAATTACAGACTGGGAAAAAAATTCATGCAGATCGCATATTTGATAGAGAACTTGTATCTCAGAGGCTTTCAGAGCTCCCTCCTAGACCAATATTGTGATTAATGGGTCTTTGTTTAAGAATCTCAGGAATAGTGAGCTAATTATCAGTAAGAATTTACAGCAGTGGTCTCTGAATTCAGCATTACATGGGTGGTGTTTTAAAACAGATTGTTGGCCACACCCTCAGAATTTTTAAATTAGCAAAGGCCTGATAATTTGCATTTCTAATAAGTTCCATGGCATCACACTTTGAGAAATACTAATTTAGACCAAAAGAGAAACACTATGTCATATCAAGATTCCCTCCCCAAAGACAATGACAAAATACACTCTGCTTATTAAGAAATAATTTGTCTTTCCCTCATTTATTAGCTAGAGACACCTTTAACTGTTAATCAGAGCTTCAGATCAAGCAAGCAATAACAAACATGACATGGCTGAGTTGGTATGATTCTGGTATATTTTGGTTTCCACAAAGCACTTCAAGGCTTCTGTGAAGGACTTGCCTGTTCGGAATTCACCCAGCAAATCAAATACAGCCTTATACCAACCTCCCCATAATGACAAGAAGGAAACCATCTGGTCCCACTGAAACCTGTTAAATTTCCCAGATCCTCCCCAACCAACACCCAGCAGGATTGTCACCCAGTCTCACCGTCCAAGATGGCCCATTGATTGTCAATCTCTGTATGTTTCAGGTAGGAGTCTTCAATGGTGGGRTCGTAGTCAGGCACAAAGATCTTCTGGAAAAACTGGATGGTGAGGGCACTCTTGCCCACGCCCCCGTCSCCCACCACCACCAGCTTGTACGTGGGGAGGTTGTCACTGGGGACGGCGCTGGTTGCCATGTTGCTGGGAGGTCAGACCTGGGGAGGCAAGACATGTGGAATAAAGCAGGGGACTTTTTTTTTTCTTTTTCAATTAGGGGGAAATATTCATGGGTTTTCCTCCCTTCTCATAAAGTAACAAGTACTCCCCAAGGTGGAAAGGATTCCAAATGAGGGAAAGTAAAAGAAAATAAAAGCACCCTCCCTGGTCCCATCACTGTTCAAAGGACTTAATTCTGCCACCTTTTACTGAACACCAACTATGTGCCAGACTGGTTTTGGGGACAGAGTACCACTGTTCTTCTTTAACAAAYCACAGTCAAACGCTCTGTTTTAGGGCTTTTGTGTTAAAGGAGTTCAGCAGTCAACTCTGCCCTCAAACTTTACAGGTAAACAGGAGGGCTTTGATCAGAGCACACAAAGGTCCACCTTTCACCTCGTCTTTATCGACTGGAACATCTCTTATCAATAGGAATGTTATGCTGAGGATTTGAAGCTGTGTCGGAGCTTAGAGCGAAATGCCATAATTACTCAGCACTCCTATGCTCAGGGACTCTGGAGGCTCCCTCCAACTCTCTGAATTCTGGCTCCTCTCCCTGTTTCCTTGGACTTTACCACGCATGGTCATGCTGGAACCTAAGGGCAACTGGCCACCCTGTTTTCATTAGGGAAAAGGAAGGGGAGCCCGAGGTGGTAGTTTTATTTGGATGATGCCAAGTCTGGACTGAGGCAGCGGTTTTCAACCAGGGGTGATTCTGCCCTCTCAAGGATTCTTGCAATGTCTGGGGATATTTTTGGATGTCACAACTGAGTGGGTGCCCCTGGCATCTCGTCAGCAGAGACCAGAGATGTTGCTGAACCATCCCACACTGCACAGGATGGTCCCCCATCACAGAGCATTGCCAAAGCTGAAAAACCCTAAGCTAAGGAGGCAGCTGGAAAAGTGGGACAGGATTCTGCAGAAGCCAGGCATCGTGGTGCATGCTTGTAGTCCCAGCCACCCAGGAGGCTGAGGCAGAAGCATCACTTGAATGCAAAAGTTTGAGATGAGCCTGAGCAATACAGCAAGACGCAAGAAGGAGGAGGAGGAGGAGGAGGAGGAGGAGGAGGAGGAGGCAACCTGGCCCCTTCACAGATAAGGACTGATGTGAAGAGGTGACTGCAGAGGAGTTAAGAGTAACCTTTGGAAATAGTGTCAAGGAAGAGAGACAGGCAGAGATCATGGAAAGGAAGTGCAATCCAAAAAACAGGAGGGAAACCAGCAAGTGTCACAGTGACAGGAGCAACAGTCTCCAGGAAGAGGAGGCTGCCAGCACTGGTAGGGAGGTGTCACCTGAAGAACAATTAGGAGTGTTCGCTGCTCACTGTGGACCCTGCCAGGGAGGAGCTGCGTCCTCCTGTTGGGGCCTCCTTGGTAGCATGAAAACTGGGTGTTAACAGTGGGAAAGAAAGCTCCACCCCACCTTCCAGAAGAAGCAAAGGGGAAAGTTCCCGTGCAAGTTGGAAGGGGAAAGCCACTGTGTGTGTCTTATGGGAGGGAGGCAACGTGGCCCAGAGGACAAGGGACGGGGGCTCCTGCATGACACCCCTACTTGGGAGAGGATTCTGATCTCTCTGAACCACAGTTTCCTTATCTATTAGATTATAGGGCTGGCTTGGGTGCTCCTTATTTCTATTTTCATCTCTAAAAGAGTCTTCAATTCTAGGTTGTGTCAGAAAGGGTGTTAGACACATATGTGGGTTCTGTGGCCGTCCTGATTTGCATGGGGTTACAGGCCAGAGTGGTTGTGGAATCCTTTGCAGTCACTGAAGCCTGATGTTGACATTTAGGATTTCCCCCAGTATAAGGGAAGTATGCACTTTGATACCCTCAGGCCTGGGCGAGGGAGACACTTGCATAAACATATCAGAACTGAAAATGGATGTACCCTCTCCCACAGCTGTAAGCATATGAGAATTTATTCTAAGGAGATAATCAGGGACGTGTACAAAGATGTTGGGAATGGGGGAGGGGAAYGGAAATGACTTAAATGTTGGAGAAGAGAATTAAAGAAGTTTGTCTATCTAATGGAATAATTAAAAAGGATGATATAAAAAATGTTGTAGTATGTATAGCGGTGGGGGGCGGGGAAGCTAGGCTGCAAAGTAGCAAATACATATAATCCCACTTCTAGGAAGGTACCCGCCAATGAATCTATCTACACATCCAGGGGTGAATTTGGCTTTGAGAGGTTTAGAAGGTTGTCTCCCTGCAGGGTCCTTTGATTTCCTCTCTGTTTCAATTTTCTATAACAGGTATGCACAGTCATACCTACTCATCCATGAGTCTGCATTCAGAGTGAACCAACTGTGGATTGAAAATATTTTAAAAATTACATTTATGCTGAACATTTACAGACTTTTTTCTTTATCATTTTTCCCTGAACAATACAATTGTTGTGGCATTTATTGTGTATCAGGCATGTAGGTAATATAGAGATGGGAAGATGTATTATATGCAATACTGTCTCATTTTATATAAGGTACTTGAGCATCTGAGGATTTTGGTGTCCTTGGGGTGTCCTGGAGCTAATCCCCCTTGGAAAACTTTGACAATAGTAAAATGTCCAAGCCACCTGAAAAATTTCAGTTCTCTCTCATTTTATTTAGCTCCTTTGGGTCAGGATGGGATCAGCACTGGCTGCAGCCCCAGAATCTGATTCCTGCATCTTGCTACAAAGATGGAGATGAGCTGTGGCTTCAATTAACGGAGCTCTCTCATGGCTAATCCACGACATCAGTGGTGGTCCATAGGGGCCAGAGGGGAGGCAGAGGGTGGCAGAAACAGTGAGAGGACAGGAAGGGCCAGCTCCCTCCCTCCTCTCCGTCTCAGAGTAGCTCCTCACCACCTCTCATGAACCGTGGTAGTTCTCACCTGGGGTGCACCATGACCCAGGGCCAGGGCTGAAACGTGTCTGCTGGTGTTAGGGGTGATTTCCAAAAGCTTCCATTCTCTGCTGGCAGCCACAGTGTACTAAGTGGGTGGGAAGGTATGGGGAAGTAAAATCATTTCTGTTGATTTTCTTCTTGAAGGAAAACAAGATAACACACTAGTAAATATGAGAGGCCATGAACTTAACCTCTGAGACAGAGCTCGGACCACCCACAGCAGAATCACCTGGGGACTTGCTCAAAAAATGCCCTCTGCTTGCCAAGACAGCTGGCAGGACATGGGCAGCTGAGGGCACCCTCCTTCTCACAGCACCCTACACTCAGGGGTTGAACCCCACAGGGCACAGGGAACCATGTCATGGGGTTACTGTCCCACTTGGGACTTTTGGAAGAGGAACYCTGTGGTTGACACACACCAGGCTGGGTCCTTTGTGCTGCAAACCCTTCTAGTGCAGCCTACAGCTGATAAGTCAAGTCCAGGCTCCTTCACTGGACGTCTGAGTCCTGTCACCTTGTCATTTAAGGCTAGCCTCTCCAGCCACACCGGTGCCACAGCCCTTCATACTCTCCTCTCACCCCCAACCAGCTTTGGGTCCTCCCAGGGTTCCCTGTGGTCACAGAGCACACTCCACATATACCCAGCCACCTGGGAGGGCACACACYCCTTCTTGGGTCAGGCCCAAGCCCAGAGTCACCTCCCAAGGGAGATACCACCYTGCACTTTGAGCCCTGTGGTTCCTGGCACAGAGGCCACCATCACACTTTGGATCCTGTACATGTTCCTATGCACACAAGGACAGGGGCTGCATCTTGCTCCTCTCTGTCCCCAGCACCTGGCACAGCACTGGCATAGGGCGGGAATGTGCTGGACACTGGTATTTCTGAACAGCCGCCAGATGACCTACCATCCAGAGCTGGCCCTTACCATGCAGAGGGCTAAGGGGCAACTCTCAGCCAGGGAGTAGGACTGACTCTAAGAGGTCAGGCCAATGCCATAGATAGGACCCTTCTGGAACAAGTACAAGCTCAGAAGGAAAGAAAGCATTGCCAAAGAGGGAGAATGAGTCCAGAGAACACCCCAATTCACGAAGGCTCTAGGCTGAATCCTCTCCTGATGGGCATGTCTTTCCACCCAGAAAAACCCTCTGACCAAATGATGTTTTTGTAAATAGGAAGTATGGCCAAGATGGCAAGAGGCAGGCATCCCTCTCCTACAGAATAAGTTGATCTCACGTGGCACAGAGAATTTTTAAAAAGCCACTAATAGGCTATGACTGAAGTCACTGCGGGATAAAAAGTCAGTCAGTGGTTAAGAAGCAAAGTGCTTACATTCGCAATTTCCCTCTCTTTTCCAGTCCTCTCAGCGAGAAGGCACCTTGGAGATCATTCTAGAATGCTGKATCTTCACTTTGGGGACCATGGATGGGCCCCTCTGAGGTAGGAAAGTGGTAGACCTGGGTTCTTCTCAAAGTTTCCCCACTAATTTGCTGTGCCGGGTACTCTCCTACTGGCCAGTTGAATAACCTTGGGCAAGTTCCTTTCATGGCCTCAGAATCTTACTTATAAAGAGGGCTTGGTTAGAGAATCACACTTTGCAGAATTGCTCTGAGCATGAAATAGAAATGTATGGAATATGCTCAGCTCAGAGAAGGTGCTCAGTTATTTCCTCTCTTACTTTTTTCCCTTTGATCTCAGAAGACAAGCAGCATTCCCCCCGCCCCTCTCTCTCTGGCTCATGGTTCTTCTGCTCTGAGGCTCCATGATTGTCACCCTCCTCCTCTTCCTCCTCCTCCATTAGAAGCCACACTGGCATCTCAGCTCTCAGTGCCAGATTAAATAGGCCTCTGTGGGCACGTCACCCATCATCTAGAGCATTGTTTCCATGGGAAATGGCTCTGAGGTTCCAGGCAGCCCCCTCCATGCAGAAACCAACTTTTGGAACAGCAGCCACTTGGCAGTGGAGGCGGCTGAGCTGGTTCCCGTGGCAACCAACTACTCCCAGGGCCCCACCCAGTCTACAGGCTGCACCAGCAACCTGAACCATTGCTCATACTGGAAACTTCTTCCTAAAAGGCAACATCGCTTCCTCAACAATTTTAATAACATGT